CAGGTTGTCTTCCTTCGGCCTCCAGGATTGCGAAAAACAGACTTCGGCTGCTTCAAGCGCCCATGTTGTGGTACTTCATCATGGCAGCCTGAGCAAATGACAGATTTGTCGGATTGACACTGATGATTAAGTGTTTTGTCTAGTTGTGTACCTCTAGCACACATTTGTGCTAACTTAAGAGATGTGGACTTTGATCATTCATTGTATGGGAGAATGATGTCCTAAAATTTAATTACCAGAAACACTCCCCATTATCAAATGAAGCAGCTATACTTGATTTAATTTCAGATGGAAAATGTCTGTATTGATTTTTAAATTCAAAATAAACCTTTAAAATGCATTAAAGATTATTTTAGAAACAATGAAAATAGATTATACTGTGCTTCTTGTGGAAGCTCAGTCAAAACTAAAATGATTTTGATCTAATCTATAGTTTTGCAAAAAGTTTTAAAGCGAGAATAAATCTAGGTGATGCTTGTGATATTCCTTTAGAAATTCAAGTTATTTTGTTTGATTTACAATTAAAATCATAATTTTATTTATGAAGTACATACATGGTGAAAGGCATAACATTGTTTTAGAAAATATGTGTGTTAGAGTATTTTAAAAATCAGGTATAAACATTGAGAAATGCCTCATTCTTTTATGGTTCATATTAGTATCAGCTTTTCCTATGCATTCAATGAAAAAGTAATATATGTTGGCGTAACATCATTGATCCAACAACTACCAGGAGTTTCTTCCAGGTCTCCCACGAGGGTGCAGAGTCCCAAGGCTTTGGACCATCCTCAGTTGCTTTTTCAGGCAACAAGCAGGGAACAGGAGGGGAACTGGTGCTGCCAGGACACGTACCAGCAGCCATGTGGGATCCCGATGTGTGCAAGGCAAGGACTTTAGCCGCTAGACTACCGTGCTGGGCCATTGAGTGTTAAATCTTTACTAGACAGAAATTGAAAGCCCAAGGTTTGTGATAAGTTGACTTCAGATTCCTAATCACATTCCACCACTTAACACTGTCCATGAACAAGTTATTTAAATACTTTGCATCTCAATTTTCAATTAAGTGGATTTAATTAGGTAATTATGTAATAGGATTATCATGATAATCATTTGCAATAATGCTCATACAATTCTTAAAATACAGTCTGCTGAGTATTGTTGATGAATCCTCTTAGTATTTGCCAACTACCTTCAAGAAACTCAGAAAACAATATATAACCACAACAAATTAAAAACACAAATGTTTGTTTTGTGCATATTACCAACAATAAGTGCAGTAGAAATGATAAGAATTCGTGCAAGTTTCCTTGCCAGAATAATCCTACTTTGTTATGAAGCCAGAGCCACAAAAGATGGTCAATTATCATTCAGAAGACAGAGATACAGCTGGCAGATAGCTGACAGTGTTGTGACCCTCATACTTCTGATGAGGCCGTCCTTTGCAGTTCCACAAAAATGGTTGATTCTAGACACTAAAAATTCTGCAATGCAGTTGGGTATTTTGCTTAGCAATTGAGATGCCAGTTAGGATGTCTACATGCTACATCACAGTGCCCCTGGATGATTCCAGATTCCTGCTAAGACAGACCTTGGGAAGTAGTAGTGGCTCAGGTGGTTGGATTCTTGCACCTCCTGTGGGAGGCCGGGCTTGTCTGGACCCTGACTTTTGCGTTTGGGGAGTGAACCAGTAGTTAGAAACGAGGTTCCAACTACTCCGTTCTCCTCTGCTTTCCCTGCCCAGCTCCCTTTTTCTTCCACCTGCTACCCTTTCTTGTGCTCTCATGTAAAATTAATTTAAAAGAAGTAAAAATAGCTCAGGCTGATATGAATTATTTTGTAAATGTTTTCAGAAAGAAGATATCACTGCTTTTTGCGCATCTTTTTTTTTTTTTTAGGTTTGACCAAAAAAAAAGGAAAACATAACAGGACAAAACATTTTGCTCAACAATACCCTTACTCTACTTAGATAGGGGCTCAGATATAGAGCTCTGCAGGTGGAACATTTGCATCACTGATCTAACTAATGATGAAAGGTTGTGGTTATTTGGAAAGCACAGGTTCAGTACAGCTTCTTGAATGACTGGATTAAATACGGAAACGAAGGGATGAGATTAGAACATAATTCAGGCACAGGCTCATCACAAAGGGACACCTGTGGAAGGTAGCTCGTATTTAAGAAAAAATCATGGCCACGAGAGTGTCTTGCATTATTGCATCTGCTTTAACGCAGTAAACCAAGCTGCTTCTAGAGGGGAGAAGGGGATGTTTTACATTTAATGTCAGCTCATCAAATTAATATGAAGCAAATATTCACAACAAAGTCTTCTATTCCATAGGATAATTTTAAGTTTTAAGCACAACTATTACAGATTAGAAATAGCTAATAGCATTTTACAAACATCTTTTTTAAGGGAAAAAATATTTCTTCATGTTTCTTTTCTCTTTGGCTAAATTACAGATGAATTATATAAATTCAGTCCTGCAGGACATTGCCAACTACACTATATAACTTTAAATAAAATGTTTGTATAATTTCTACCATCTTTACATCTCAAGAGTTGCTCCTATTGAAACTACTAAAGCTTATTTTAAAAAAAGTGCAGACTCCTCTAAATGGCTACCCTTTATTAATCACACCCATGAGGAAAGAAGCTTTGATTTGGTTTACCCCAAGGTATAGATAGAATTTTTTGTCATACATTGGAGATTAACTTGTGATTCATAACCCGTGTTCAATTTAAATCTACACAATTTAGGCAAACACATTTATAGAATGTATTAATTAATTAAACCATTTTTTCATTTATTATTCAGGCACCAGATAGAAAATGAAATACAGACTCTAAGAAATATTGAAAATAGATCCTTGTTAGTGATCAGACTTCATTCTGAAGTTCACTGTAGCATCCATCAGAACTCTTAACCTTGTACTGATTACATCCTGTAGACATTGGGCATCGCAGTGTGTGTATTTATTTTATTCCTGGAGTATAGTGGCTTTGTAGTGAATCCTAGGATAATGCATTGGCAGTTTCGGTTCAATTGAATTGAATCAGAAAAAGAATGGAATGATATGAAACTTCCACATCTAAGGTTAGGGATCAAAGCCGATCAGTTTCTTCAGATCGTCCCGTTCGTATAGGACGCTATGTGTGCTAGTTTTGTACTGTTCAAGGAGACTCGTTTCCTGCTCCTGTGTGCCTGTCCTATATAATACGGGGACCGGGTCCTTGCGCGTTAGCTCCCCAGCAGGGACAGAAATCAGTGTTCCGACACATCAAGCCTCACTTCCCTTGACTCCATCCATAACATTATTGTTTGGCATGGCCTTCACAAAATTTCATTTTGCTTCCTAACATAGATACAAAATTTCATATTGTTTTTACTTATCTCTTTCCGTAATTGTGTATTTTTTCCAAAGTTTTTTTTTCAAAAGATATTGTGGAAGTATTAAGTACTGTTAACAATTATAGCTTAATTTTAACTGTACAGTGAAGAGATTGGCATTTTCATGCCATTGGTTAACCTGCCAGCTGTAATATCTGCCATCTGCACCCATGTGAGAACTCTCATTTAAGTCCTAGAAGTCGTGGCAGCTCCAGTGCTGGAGGATGACCCACATAGGGCCCTGCGGCTCATATAGGAGACCAGAGGGGGGCCCAGGTTCTCTGCTTCAGTCTGGGTGAGGTGTTGCTAAGGTGTTTTCTCATTGAGCATCTGAGTGTTCTGAATTAATTTTGAGTTTAAGATGTTGAATACCCTTGATTCAGAATCACTTACTCTCTTTGCTGCTGGGTGAAGTAAGTAATCCAGGTAGTGAGAGACCCATCACCTTCTCTGGAACTTCATCTAATTAGTTGAACCCATTCTCTACATTTTGATGTTACTTTTCTCCCAATGTTACCAGAATGTATCAACAGGTCTTTTCAGGCAAAAAGTTAGGATTGTTTTTCAGAATACTCCTTAAAAAGTTTGATTGCAATGTGAGGGACTCAGCATGGTCCCATCGAGTCACAAGGAATCACAACCACACTTATGCTTCCGTAAGCTAAGATAGCTGTGCCACCACGTGCACCTGCTGTTTGCTGAAGTGATGCTGAAGAAGCCTTCAAGTATAGCCTCCCTCAGCACTAATATGAAATGGGATAGAAATAGGTGATATTTTAGAAGGAAGGAAATAATATTAAAGTCACAGTGAAAGTAAACATTTTGAGCTGTCGTTGATGGCAACTGTGTATGCATGTACAAACACTGAACAGTAAAACTCAATACTGAACAATAAAATTCAAGCACAAATCATTTACACAATCTCTGGATTTTGGTTGCATGACTTCATTGCGATATTTAAGATGCTTTAGTAATTCTGTTCTGTTGAAAAGGTGTTTTCCACCGCATCTGGAAGGTGGGGTTCATCACAGATGATGCGCTGAGTACCTCTGCTGTGTTCGGTGCTTTCACGTGCATGGTTGGAAATAATTAGCGAGGAACAGGCATTCGGCGTGGTGTTTACAATTCCAGTCAAAATACCTGTGTGTCATATGGAGCTCCTGCACTAGAGTCCCGGCTTGGGCTCCCAGTTCCAGATTTCTGCTGATCCAGGCCTGGGAAGATGGAGGTGATGGCTCAGGCAGTGAAATCCCTGCCACCTTGAGGGTGGCTGGGATTGAGTTGTGCGTTGCTAACTTTGCTCTGGGCTCGTCTTGACAGACATCTGGACCATGAATGAAGAGTTGCCAGGTTGCTCTCTCTGGCTCTGTGTCGGTCTGCCTCTGCCTGTTTCTTACTTGGTGTATGTGTGTGTCTTTTCAGAGAAAGTGAAATATTCAAAACTATATAGAATCACAGTTATTGTTTAATAAATGTCAAGAACTCTTCATTCTAGTCAATGTGAATCAAGCATATCCTTTGATGGTTAAAATCTGCTGTCTCAAATTTCAAAATCCCTATTAAGCATAAGTAACCAAGCGACTGAATGGTTCTTAATCTGCTTTCTGTCTTAGGTCCCATAAGTAGTGTCTTAGTGAATAAATACGGCAGCCGGCCAGTGGTGATTGTAGGAGGTTTACTGTGCTGCTTGGGAATGGTCTTGGCCTCATTCGCCACCAGTGTAATACAGCTTTACCTCACTATGGGATTCATTGGAGGTAAGCCAGCGTTCCTTTTCAGCTGATTTTTGCCTTAATATTCTGCTGTTTGCCAAAGTTTATGGGCAAGAATTAACAGAAATTTCTTATTATTTTCTGTGACTTTACATTGTATAAACAATGCCATTTTAAAGTATTATTCATGTGTTTTATTAAAATATAGTTATCAGATGAGTTTTTTTGTTATGTAACTTTAAGAAAATAACTCTTGTTTTTGCTTCTTCATGGATCTGCCAGTCGAGTTGGTATTGTGGATATAGATTTTATGGTTTAAAAAAAAAGATTAAGATTTATTTTTAAACTTATTTTTAAATCTATTATTCCTGTGGGGATTATTTGACTTGTAATGTTTTAAAATTATGCCAGAGATATTTTCTGGATACACTGATTTACTTTAATCATAAACTTGTGTTGTTCGTGTTCTAATGAATAGTAAATTTCATTAACATTTTGCTTTCTTTCTTAAAAGTTTGTTATTTTTAATATTGTTTACGTAGTTGAGAGGGATATATACCCAGGTGAGCTTCTGATTAGGATGGGGAGGGTCAAGGTATGGAGGAAGGTGGATGGGACAAACGTTTCAGTTCAATTCTGGCCCATCCCCCAACCCATCCAACTTGCATGCTGTCAGGTGCTGTAACCTTGCCCAATCCAACCCAATCTCATGCTCAACAATGGGAACTCCAGCCCAGCAGGGGAGTTCCCCAAGTTCCCTGCCCCCAGCCCTGAACCTCATACATACCAGGGAGTGCCCGGCCAGGCATGCTCCAGGGTCCCAGCTTTCATGTGTGCCAGTAGGTGGCAGACAGTGCTGTTTAGCTCAGGCCAGGTCACGTACATGGGCAGGTGCCTTGGTCTGACCCAGACATGTCCTCTGGTTTCCCGCCATCTAAACCACCCCATCTCAGCCAGGTTGCCAACCTGTAAATGCAATGGTATGGTCTGTGGAAGCCCCCAGAAGTCACTCCTCATGCATGACACATGCCCTCGATAGCCCCCTCTCCGGTACATTCCCAGACCCCCTTCCCTGGGCAGTCTGCAAGCCCTCTACATCTGGGGTGGCATGTCCCCAGGCCCCTGCCGTGAGGCACTGTGTGTGATGTGCAGAGCTCCTCATATCTTAAAAAAAAATAATAGAATGAAAAACTACTGGGACACTAGCAGAGTTGACAAAGATCTGGTATTAACCAGGCCCAGAATGCCTGGCAGCAATGGCTGCTCCTCTCCCAGCAGTGTACCAGTTGCCTAGGTACAATGCAGTCTAAGCAGATGCTTACATCTGAGGCCACCGAACTGATCCTGTTTAAAAGCCAAGTAAGTCACATTCCACTAACACAAATATTTAGATTGCCATTGTATTTAGATTACTTGTGTCACTTGGAAATCACTGTTTCTTGTTCATTTCTGTTTACTCAATCGGACCTGAATATGTACATTTGGAAATGGATGTTTTTGCCAGTCTACATAAGTTACATTGAACAATCTACATTTAAAAATTACCGGACATAAATGTATAAAACAAAATCTTTTTTTTTTCTTATGCCCAGATTGAAAGAGAAACACATATTTGTTTTCTGTAGTGGTTTGAGATCATTCCACCCCCACACTCACATATCATTTGGTGAATGAAAGCACGTATTAAACCTTACCTTACACCCTTGCATCTCTACAGTCCAGAGATTTAAAAAACCTTTCTCTGTGCAAAGAACCCTCTCTTCTGCTTTCTGCCGTTTTGCTGTAACACACTGTTTTTGATCATATCAATTAAAACCTTGCATGTTTTCATGGTGAAGGGAACGGCTTTCCTCCTGTTGACCTGATGATTGTGTTAGATCACAGAAATCAAGACAGGCCTGCCAAGAGAAGGTGGTTTCAGCATCCTTATACCAAAGGGATCGATAGTGTTATTGTTATTTCTACATATAATTCTATTCTTTGGACCTGAATATTTTTATGCTTCCAGAACCAACCATTATATACACCTGAGACCATTTTTTAACACCTGGATTTTTTTACTTTAATTTTTGAAAACAGAGAGATCACACTTTTAAATCTAACTGCATGTACTTCCTGTGTGGTCCTGGGAAAATAGTTCTTTGTCTAGGAAGTTGGAATGATTAATTTACAAAGTGAACACATTGTACACTCCATAATCCCCGGCTTTTTTGTTATTGATAGTATTAGTACATAATAATAATGAATATGTCACTTACATATGATATCTTACAGTTCTAGGGCTTACTTGATTTTGGTAAAAACCTTTCATTGTTCTTGGTGGTATTGTTGATTTTGAGTGAGTTGGAGCTCAAAAAAGTCTTAGGGCTTTTACCCAGTAGTGAAACTAGGTAAGTAGTTGGGGCAGATTCAGATCTGTTAATTTCAGGTTTTAGCACTCATTTTACCAAGCCAGAATGGAAGGGAAAAAAAAGGCAACCATCTTTTAACAAAACCTTAAAAACCCAAGGCACAACTTCCAGGTGACAGAAGATGGGAAAGGAAAAACATAAAGAGACTTGACCTTTGGCACCAACACCTAGAATGTTTTTGTTGTTTGTTTTGTTTTGTTTTGTTTTGAGACAGAGAAAGTAAGAAAGTGAGAGAACTCCAATCTGCTGCTACAGTCCCCTCCACAAACGGTACAGGACAGAGCTGACTGAAGCCAGGAGCCAGGAGTCTCATCCGAGTGTCCTTCCTGAGCATCTGGGAGCCAGCTCTTTGTGCCCCTACTGACTGCCTCCTATTAACACCTTGATTTTTGTCTAGGATTTTACTTACATGCTGCTTGACCACAAACCAGTCCGTTTATAATCTCTGATTAAATCTATCACACTCTGCATATCTCAAGTACAACTGAGGTGGAGTTAGAGTTCATTCTGTCCTGTTTCTAGGTTCCTTCCCCACCACATTTGGGGGAACCCTTCTACTTACTCGAAGTGCTTAAAGTAAGGAGTTGCATGTGTTCCAGAGCCTGAACACCCAAACATTTGTCATAGCATTTTTATTTAGGCAAATTAGTAACTATAAAATGATTAAGTAAATCTTACGATCTGATTTCTAAAATATTATGGAATACTGCCTACACTGAAAGGGGGAAAAGAAGCAGTTTATGTAAATCGCATGTGTCTACCTTTTTGAGAATCTTACTCATTACTGTTGCCGAGTAGTCCACTGATATGACTCATTTCTCAGAAGCAGTATTGAACACTGCCAAGGAGGTGCTGGACTGTGGGGCCTTCAACTCGTATAAACAATAAGCTTTACTCTTTGAAAATAAAATGCTTTATGCAAAAAAAAATACTTTGTAAGTAAACAGACACGTGCATATGTATACATTTAATGTGGAATGTATAGTATGTGGAGCATGCAGTTAGTGGCATGAATAGATTACTATCTTGGAAAGTAATGTCTGGAGAGATATAAGATTATTACAAATGATGATCTGTTTAATTTGTTCATCTTTCAACACATTCTTAATTTTTGCTCTTGGTCACAAGGAAGAAGTCTGTTCCATGTCTGGGTACTTAAGTAAACTTGAAAGGATGCGAGTAATTTCTCTGTGAGACTAAATGGTTTTCAGAAGAATGAATCATTTTATACTGTTTTAAGCTGTCCTATGATTATTCACAGACATTCTTGGTTTTGTTTCCGTGCTTTAAAAACTAAAAGAATATGTGAAACTGCCAAAGGAAGTACACCACTCCGAGTACCTTTTTTGTTCTTACGTATGTGTGTTCCCATTTGCAATTACACTTTGTAGCCACTTTGTATTTTTAATTCCCCCTCACTTACCTGATAGCATATTGGGAAAAGTAATTTCCTTTGTGGGTGACAGCATGTGCTTTTGGTTTTATTTTCTCTTTCTGATTTGTTCCTTTTAGGTCTTGGCTTAGCCTTCAACCTGCAGCCAGCCTTAACCATAATTGGCAAGTATTTCTATAAGAAGCGACCCATGGCCAACGGACTGGCCATGGCAGGAAGTCCTGTTTTCTTAAGTACCTTGGCTCCTTTCAATCAGTACCTTTTTAACACTTATGGTTGGAAAGGAAGCTTCTTGATTTTGGGAGGTATACTTTTGAATTCCTGCGTGGCTGGTTCACTCATGAGACCCCTCGGACCCCAACAAGCTCCATCGGACTCCAAAAATAAGACTGGCGTGAGTACAGAAGCTTCGGATCCGAAGACAACCCAGAAGAAACCACTGTCGGAAAGAGTCCTTAAGTATTTAGACTTCACCCTTTTTAAGCACAGAGGGTTTCTTATATACCTCTCCGGAAATGTCATCATGTTTTTGGGCTTTTTTGCCCCTGTCATATTCTTGGCTCCTTACGCTAAAGATCAGGGAATTGATGAGTACTCGGCAGCCTTCTTGCTATCCGTGATGGCTTTTGTTGATATGTTTGCTAGGCCCGCTGGAGGATTCATTGCAAACTCCAAGCTTATCCGACCCCGAATCCAGTATTTCTTCAGTTTTGCAATCATGTTCACTGGAGTATGTCATCTCCTGTGTCCTTTGGCCAAGGATTACACGAGCCTGGTGGTGTATGCTGTATTTTTTGGTCTTGGATTTGGAAGTGTTAGCAGCGTGCTCTTTGAAACGCTGATGGACCTGGTTGGTGCTGCAAGGTTTTCCAGTGCTGTGGGACTTGTCACAATCGTGGAGTGTGGTCCGGTTCTCCTTGGTCCTCCTCTGGCCGGTAAGAATAATTCTCTTAAAATAAATAAATAAAAAGTCCAAAATTGCTATCCGTTAATGGAGACCTGCTTTACAGTGAATAGTGTGTTTGATTATAACACCAGTTGCATGAAATCTTATGGGAAATGTGAATTTTAGGTGTTACTGTGTACTTAAAATTTTCCAAATTAGGTCATTTGAGGCTTAAATTTGTGAGAGCCTAGATCTCTGAATTTACATATATACATTTCATAATGGAGACAGGCAACTGAAAAGAGAGAGCGCAGAGATAAATCTGAAATGGGGCATTCTGGGACCAGAACAGTTATCTATAACAGCTTAATTTGCCAAGCCACAACACTGCTCCTATTTAGTCTGTTTATAAAGTGATTTCTTCATGACACTGAAGGAACTTCTTGTAAGTGGGAGAATGCCTGCCTGGGCAGATGTAAACTAAGTTTAAATTGAAAAAAAATATATATATATATAGGTCAATAAGCCCTAAGACTAAATGGCACCCGCTAGTATCAGTCATCAGCTGAAACAACTAGCTGCTTCAGGTGAGTTTGACCTTGACCATTTACCCAGGAAGTGGAAAGGTGACTGACTCCCAAAGTGCCATGGCTATATAGCCATGGTCAGATTACTGCTCAGAAATGATCAAGAGAAATATAAATGATCCTCTGTAGGGATCAATTGAAATCTAACAGCCAAGTGCTGGGCATAAAGGAAACCTTTAGTGCCCGTTAGGCCCTGTTAGCAACTATGGAGAAAGCTGTAAGTCTTTGATTTCTCCTAGAAAATAGTTTTCTCCTCTTTGCTGAATACGAAAGGAAATATAGGAAGGGTGAATCAATGTGAGTACTATAAATGAGCAGCTGAATTATATCTGTATATGTGTACATAGAGAAATATGCCTCTCACAAATAGTTACTTATGACTGTACACACAAATACGTATTTGTCTTGTGTGTCCTTTATAGCTTTTTATTGGAGGAGATAGTTTTCAATAAATGTAATGTACTGCTGATATATATATTGCTGAGTGTGCTGGTTCATTCATTTATTACATATATATGTATATATATACATATGCATGTATATATGAACTCATAATCTGGAGTTGTTTCTCTTTGCAAAAGTCCCATTTGATATGAAGGATTAAGGTTATGCGGTTCATCTGGAGAATTTATTTGAACATGTTACGACTTTATGACTATTTTATTGATACCGTGCTAAATGATGGCCTTTGTCTCTTAGGCAAATTGGTGGATATTACTGGCGAATATAAATACATGTACCTAGCCAGTGGGGCTATTGTGGTAACGGCAAGCATTTGGCTGCTCATCGGCAATGCTATCAACTACAGATTGCTGGAAAAGGAAAAGAAGAGGGAGGAGGCACAGCAGAAAGTGCAGGCACCTGTGCCCAAGGAATCTGAACCCTTGCACAAGCCCACCCACGAGGATGACGTGACCATCAAGATGCCCCAAGCGCAAGACGTTCCTCCTTCAGAAAGAGAAACGAATATTTAATAAGTCACATCTCCATCTCGGTGTTGATGAATTTGCTTAGAAACGCATTTTTTTGGGTGTGTTTTTAAATACGGGGAAAGGTTAATAGCCAAAATCAGGAGTCACAGGATAAAGATGATGTTCTCAATGGGAAATTTTAAGTTAGTTTAAAAAATCTTCTCGGAGTAGTACGAGTTTGTGATTGGGCACACACAGAATCCAGGTGACAGATCCATGTCCGCCCGCAGCTGTGGGATGGCGGTTCAATACTGATTCCAGAGTCTTCCACTGTTGCTGCAGAAGAGAGAGACACATCCTCAGTCCTTTGTATAACTAGTTAAAGTATGTTTAGTCCCATACACGGATCCTCCTTGTGTTTTGTTTTTTTTTTAAACAATATTAAAGTATAAAATAGAATTGAGGGAAAAGTATCTCTTTCTCTGTGTCACACACACACACACACACACACACACACACACACACATTTATATCCATATGTACAGAGTATCTGGAGAACAAACTCAAAAAGAATATTATCATAGTTAAGTACAAAAAATCATGGTGACACAAAAAAGTATTATATCTGCATGCTACTTTCCAGTGTGGATTTTAACGTAAGCACAGGAGTGAAAGTGAGAGTGCCATAGTAAAGCACCTGCATAAACAATATAACTCTGATAAACAGAAAACTCAGTGAAAAAGCACTGTTGCTTCTAGGCACTATCGATTAACCCAGGCACGTAGACTTCCTTCAGGGTGGGTGGGTTGCCAGCACCTGTGTTAGAACTCCTTCAAATAAGTTTCAGAATTCTTACCTGATGTGAAAATCAAATTAAAAATCCAAATGGCACCTAGCAATGAGTTGTGTCCAGCGATCTTTGAAGGGCTTTAATCATTGTTGAACCAAAAAGTAATAACCAGGGGTTTGTTTTACTGTCTCATGCTGAAATACCAAAGTAAACGGGAGCCAGTTATGTCCATTATCACGTGGCTGTGAAGCTAGAATATGGTATCAAGAATTCATTTGACTAACAGTGGGAGGTGGTTTGAGTGAACCTTCTAGGCCCTTCTGGCTCAGTCCCTTCCAAAGAAAGCAGATGCTGAAAACAACAAAATATCAATTGGCCTTTTGCTCCACCGCTGAAAATGCCTCCTATGAAAGGGAATGGCATTCCTTGAAAAGTCTGCCCTCTACTGGTGAGGTGTCCTGCTGCCTGTGAACCAAACGAGGGAATTTGTTTAAAACAGCTTCTAGAACTAAAAGCTCCCTGTGATTTCAAGTTGTTAAATTTTGTTTTTCACCATGATAGGCAGAAACTCAAAATATTGCATCTCAGATTAATTTAGCAGTTTCTTAACTATACCAAAAAAATTCCAAAAAAATTGAATCACTTTTGAATACAGGGGCATATGGTCGACTTGTGCTTTTTCTAATTTATATCAGTAGCGTTTCAAGTGAGGAAGTACTCTTAAAGGATAGTGTGCATCATGGCTATAACTATGAGTGCTTATATCTATAAATCTAAGGTTTAAATTACTAGTATAAGTGATACAAACGCGTTTAGGGCTTATTTAGTGTAGTGATGTTACTCTCAAAGGGGTTTCTCTTCCGTTTTTATTGTAGTACCAGCAGGTGCTCCTTATAATGCCTGTGAGATTGCACCTGGGTACCAAAATTGTGTAATAGTTAACATCAAGGATTCGATTCACGAATGCACTGTTTCAGCATGCAGCTAACATTTAGGAAGCTACTTCAGATTCCACTTTCCTCGTAACATTGTTTTTTGCTTACAAAGCCGTTATTTGTATTTTTCAAATATTCAATAAAAAAAAGATGTGCCAAGATCATGCATAAATAAATCAGAAAAGATATGACAGGATATGGCTATTTTTAATTTCACATCACCCAATCGTGGGTCTTGAATTAGCTGCCTTTTTGTTTTATGTCAAGTCAAAAACCGATTCCTGTTCGTGTTGCTGCATTTTCACTGTATGAATGAACTTTTAGCATTTCTAAGACTGGCTGTATCAAATTACTTGAGAAGTAAAGTTGCACTTGGAAGTACTAGTGTCTGAAGCACAACAGTCACTCCGAGCAGCTATGAACGTACCCATTTGCATATATAAATGTTGACATGTAAACCACAAAATACTTGACCTAAGTGATATATACAGTGTTCAAAAGTGTTTGAAGGTCATGCGAATGAATCTGTTTCTTTAATCTATGAACCGGATACAAGATTTCCTTTGAGAAGAGAGTCTCAGCTCAAAAGTTTCTATGTTACATAGGGTACAGACATGGAGAACAAAAGATCTTTTGTATCTGCAACAATTAGTACTGAATGTATTTCTTACCCTAGGAAACAAAAGGTCACAGCTGTTACAGTTGGCGTAAAGCATTGTCAGAGTACATTACTAAATTCTGCTTAACAGTATCTCCCCATCATGGAATTGGACAGAAGGAGTGTTCCCCAAGCAGGGAGTGTTCCCTGGTTTCAGCATTTTGCCGTTGTGTTGACTGAACATCCCCTTTGTTTGTTTGTTACTGAACCTGCACTGACTTATGAATTCAACAGTGGCTGGGGATTTGTCCTGACTCATCTGCAGCCTTTTTCTTGATCCATTTTGTTTTCAAGAAATACACTTTTAAGAAATAAAGGATGAGGTCCTAGTGAATTTTACATCGGAGAACACTGTTTTCTCAACCCAAATCCACAAATAGAGTGAACTTAGACTTCACCTGAATCATCGAGAATAAGCAAAATAATTACATCTTATGTTCAGATGTATCCAATACTTAATTTTTCTCTGGCTGCACAACATGATACTCAAGTATGTAGATAAAAGATCACATAATACATGTGATCAATAAGTTTTTACTTAAATGTGTTATTTCATGAAATCCTCAATTAGTTTGCACTTATTTTTTATTCAAAACATCTTACAAAAGGGTTACTCTGATGTAGAACATTGCAAATATGCAAAAAAAAAAAAAACCCACCAGTAAAAAGCATGCTTATTAGGCTGAATTTAATAGGGAAAAAGGATACAAATGTAAAAGAAGAGGTATTTACATTTCGTGCATTTTGCCTACATAATGCCTTTTAGCAGTCAAACCAAAGCCATGGTAGAAGTGAATAAGTTGATATGAGAGATGAGTGAATGCAAAAATAAATATACAAAGAAGCTGAGAAAGTGATTAGAATATATTATGTGTCAGAACAACAATAATAATTTTTAAAAAAACTCAGGTTTAACTAAATGCAGAAAAAAAGTCCCTAAAATGTTCACCACCATGCTGCCTAATAACAGAAGCTATCAATGCAAAAGTAGATAGAATATGTAGAAATGCAAACTTTTACAGTAAGATAGCTAGGTTTAATTGTAATCTTAAGATTTATTTAGTATTTCTGGGAGACTGCACTTGCTTTGGCCTGAGAATGTCATACAAATTGTTTTCTATCCACTGCAAGTTGTTTCGAAATCATAGTAGTGGTTATACAATAGTTACAATTGTATTATTGTGGCTTTTCCATCAAAGAAATCAATGATACATTTATATGATTCAAAAATATTTGTGTTTTACCTAAAGCTAAAGTTAGGAGGAAAATTTTATTTTTGTGAATGAGTAATTCCTATATTGATTGTAATTATAGCTCAAAAAGTATTTGCCACAGAATAGTTGATTCATTAGATAGCCTTAGTGATAGATTATATCAAGCCATCAGGAAAGATAACATGAAATACAAATGACTTGATGCATCTATTCTGCACTTACTTTTCTCATTATTTAATACACCTTTCCTCACACTTACTCCTTTACAACTGTCTCTGAACATTATTGTCATTCTCCGTTAGCTGATTTCCCTGTGTGAGAGGACAGGTGTCTTTGCTTTTGTCTTCCTGTCTGGAGTTATAAAGCCATTAAATGTCCCTCGCCTGTATTCGGTCAGTGCACATCCAGTGCGCTGCATCCTTCACAAAGTCATCCATTTTGTGTCTGGTTTTCTTTGTGATTTTCCCAAAGGGCCTGATTCCATAAGCTGTGGCCAGGACTATTGAGCTTCACAAGTGAAGTCCCAGGTGACAGTGGTCCTGGGGATTCCTGGGGATAGGAGATGCTTGTATTCTGCAACTTTTGTTGTTGTTAATGTGCATTTCCCCTTATGCAAGACAGGCATAGAATGGACTTAATTCTAGAAAGAGCTCAGTCTTCCTGTGCTATCCTGGATATTTAGTTACGGTCGCCTTTGAGAAGCGCAGTGCGTTAGATTACTGCACCATGCGCTCCATGCCATCCTGCAGGTTCTGTCACTGCTCTCATGTGACTGATGCGTGATACCAGGTAGATTCCCTCCCATATTGCTCACGATAGTGAGCAGCATCTTAAATGAAAGTTAGAATTATATTCTTGCTTTATCTCATCTTAAGATTTTGGTATCTGCATATGTATATGTGTTATCTCATATTTGAGATGCATGTAAAAACTAAGAAGCCAAGTTATCAGTAATTTAATGCTTGCACGGTTGAAATCATAATGTTTATCTTCGGTACAGTTGCAAATTAATGATTTGCTGAGCTATTATTTTTATGGCTCTGGTGATCATTGCTAACACTGGTACACTTCAGATGGTAACTCTTCACAAGTTGGTATGATCTGGTTTATTTTATTGTTTTAGAGGGATTCCATTTGCTGGTTTGCTTCCCAAATCCCTGGAACAACTGAGACTGGGAAGCCAGGACTCTAAAATCCTATCCAGGAGTCCTATGTGGATAGTAGGAACCCATGCACTTGAACCCTTACCTGCTGTTCCATAGGGTATGTTTTACCCAGAGTCTGGAATTGGAAGTGGGGCTGGGACTAAACCATTGCACCTCAGTGTGGGTGTCCCAGGAGCACCTGAACCGCTGTGCCAAGCACCCACCCCTGGTTTATCGTAGTCTTTCCCTTACTGCTGCTTTTTTATAATATCACTTATGTGCTAATCATAAAAGCGTTGCTGCATCATTCAAAAGAATCATTTTGATGTTTTCAACATTAAAATTAATGTGGCAATAAGATTTTCTTGACTTTAGCCTCAAAGGTTTTTAGACAACAGTATCTGATCCCGATTCCCTGCTGCTTTAGCTTCTCTTCCCTTTCTTCCGTTAATTAGTTGCAAAAAGTATTCTCCTTCCCTGGCGTTTTCATGATGTCTACCTGAATGTCTTTGGGACTTTTTCATCTGATTGCAGATGTTTTTGATTCTGGCAGGGTTAGGTACCCTTTTCACCATTTGTGCTATCTCCATGTTTTTCAATATTCGTTTGTATTTTCGCGTAAAGTTCCTGGTACTTGAGTGTTGTTCACTGGTCTTAAGTTCATTTTTAACTTTATGTTAACAGAATAAAACTGACTTCCTTTGTTTCCTTTTTAAAAATTACCCTAGTTTAAATGTGGCAAACTAGAAAAGCCACCTGTGACAACGTTGTTACTGAACGTTCAGTTACGTCCTACACATTTGATAAGTTCTATTTTTATTTCATAAATTATGGGGGGAAATTTTAGAATGTATTGTTGTGACTAAGACTTTTTTATTTATGTATTGAAAAGGTTTTTTTTTTTGTTAGACTTAGTTTATATAACATATTCATTAGTATATAAATTCCTGAAGGTCATTCAAGCAACTCTATCTTCCTATCGTCTTCTCTCTATTTTTAACTGAAGTGTGAATATTTCTGGCTTATTAATATAGATCGTATGAATTGAAGTGTTTATTTTTTGAGTATTAGATGGAATGGCATCTTGATTTGTCATTTGCTTTTTATTTATGTACTTAAAGACATAGATTTATTCCATTTCATCAACAGAAGCATCTGTTAATTTTGTTAGATGTCCAGATTCTTATAGTAGCTTAGATCAGATTCGGATCTTCACCGTAATAAATATAAATCCCCCGAGTAATGGAAGTATGAAGATAAAATCTAGCACTTTCGCTCCCAAAAAACTTCTTTCTCCGTTGGAGTAATGAGTTTTCCTATTGGTAACGGTGATTCATACAGAGTGAATAAAATACTAAAAACATGTACTTCAGATCTACAGATCTTAGAAAAACCTTTACACCAAAAATGAATTTATTTCCCCAATCATACTGCACAACATTATGCTTGCAAAATTTGCAAGAATATTTGCTGAATGCCACAGCTGAAGTTATGTAAAATAATTATCATAGCTAGTGGATGAATGATTTTGCAATATATATCTTGCACTAGCAACAGTAAGTTTAAAAATATTAAATTTAGTTGTTAAACAGTAAATAAATTGAAAAACTAATATTGTATTCTTAGTAAGCATACATCAACATTTTGCCAATTCCCTATCTTATTCATATTGATATTTTAAAATCAGGAATCATTTTTTTCCTATAGTAAAATGGCAGAACACAGACCCATAATGTTAATTTTTAATTGATTCAGTTTCATACTTGGCATCATTGCTATGATGTGATTTTGACAGGGAAACCATACTAAGAGCTTGTTGGTCTAAGAAGATAAGGGTGGGTTAATAAAATTATCAATGTAGGTCCACTTCAGAAATTCTTGTTGTTTTAATAGATACTTCCCCTAATGAAACAGTATCAAAATCCACAGAAGGTTTGTGACAACGTATAACAAGTTCCTTTGATTTAAAAAAAAAAAACAAACTAAAAACAAAACAAAAAAACACACAAAAACAAAAAAACCACCCTACCTCCACGAGCATAGTAACGGATTTTCTTCCTAGGTTTTCCTCTTGTTATTCTTTCTCAGAAACAAACAGCGCTCTCAGTGTCAGAATCTGGAGATGGCAGAGCAGGGCGGATTAGCTCCCAAGTAGAGGCTTAAAGCCATCCTCTGTACTCAGGGTTTGCTTCATTCAGCAAGGAGATTTGCCCAAAGAATGTGTCTTCAGAGAAATTTCAATAAAACTTGTGTGTCGTATGTAGAATCTATGATTATGGAGGACGAAAATTGCATCTGAAGTTTGTGATATATTTAGTTAGTTTCCATCAAAACCACATCTGACATGTGGCAGGCCTTATCAGCTGCAGTGAGTGTATCAGGTAAAAATGCCCCCTGTGAAATGATGACAAAAAATGAAATCATACATCAATCCAATATAAGAAAGAGGAGGATTCTCCTTCCTCAAAATTTGCTACAATTGACATTCTATTGAAAGCTTTTTTTATATAAAAGCTTCCCTCCCTCACATAATTTAGACTAAATCTTTGCTAGAATGAATAATTCCCCATTCTAAGAATTTTATGGAAACATTCATGACTCAATCTTTAAGCCAGTATTTCTTATCCCAGCATCAAATGGAAGGATTAACAATAAGCTTATCGTGTATAGAAGTTATATGTAGCAATGACACTCATAAGGCATATGTAAGATTTTAAAAATTGCCATATGTAGATACCTTTTGGCAAGAATAATTTATTGAATTTAGGAATTAATCAGTTGGATTATTTTAAAGGTAATGTTAAATTTGCAGGAGTTATGTTTAAAATGGAAGTTCGTTTGCTTGTTCCATAGCTTCCTTGATTATGTCATCATATGGTCTCAGAAAGTCCTCTGATCTTAATAGTGAAGTGAAGAGTGTAATTCAACACGCCATCTAAGCTGGTCCATTCTGCTTAACCTAGATTTTGGCTGTACTATTGCCTTTTTTTAAACAAAATTAATTAACTATAAAAAGATGCGTTTAAATGCCTGTCAAGACTTTAAAATCCAAGATAGAAATTTCTGCCTTCTGACAGATGAATGTGCTGAAAATGATTTTAATTTGATCTTGGTATACTTACTTATTTTCAGAATGTTTTATAACTATAACTGGTCTCACATTGAGAAATAAGATATGCTTAAAATATTAACCAAAAAATTAAAGAACTGGCATTTTCATTGAAGTATTTTATTTTGAATAAATAAAGTACATATTTAAACTAAATAAAATATTGTATTTAGACTAAAAGTGTTTATTTAAATCAGGATATATTATTATGATGGTTTCAATGTATATTCAGTTAGGTTTGTTCTGACTTCATTTTTTAGGTAAACTTGAGTATTGAATTTTTTACCACTTTCAGTTGTACTACAGTGTTATATAAACACAATGCTTTAGAAAAATCTCCGTTGTGAGTTCTAAGTTCCACTACACAAATTTCAAACCAAATGATGAATTCTTCTGTGGGAGTGTACATATTGCCTTTAGTTTAAATATATTTTCAGACTCATCTCTTTGTTACTAAACTGTGAGCTCCTTCTGCACAGCCTTGTTATTTTAGTCATCCGCATAGTTTTCATGCCCAGGAAAGTGCCAGATATAGAATAATTCCTTTATTGAAATGAATTGGTCGATCAGTCTCTAACTGTGGAAGTAAAATATGGAAAACACCTGTAGTGTTTTTGTTGTTCTAAATCAATGTTTTGTGTTGAATAACTGATTTTTATTTGGTCAACCATTCTATGCAAATATGAAAATATACAGCAGCTAAATTTTACTGTGCTTATTAATTAGTTTTATTTTCTTTACAAAATCAGAGATGCTCTATTTAGACTTCCTGGAAATGTTGACAATCATTTTAATGACCAAAGGTGCTACTTATTTTTCAGCATTGACCTTTATCGTAAGTGCTCCTGTCTGCTGAGCTTTATTCATTTTGGGTGAGGGTGAGAGAGAGGTGAATGCAATAAAATAGGAGTATCTGTTTTCTTGTCTTTGTTATGCAATTTAGCTCTGTAAGAGTTCCTTTGTATCTAGTGTTACTGTATTTTAATTATTTCTTACTGCTCACTAATTTTTATTGCAAGCCTGTGCTGTTTTCCTAGAAAGCATATGCATATATATTTCTATATTTGTTTAGAAAATATGTATTGCTTATTACATTAAGATTGAAATGACAAATAAATGTTCATGTTAAATTTTTGAAATGAAATCTGGACTGTTTGTTTTTAAGGTTCATTAAATGCTATGAGACTCCATGCTGACCACAACATTTCTGATAGAACTCACGTTTTAAGAAGTTTTTGCTTATCAGAGTGGCACATTCCTTACAATCTTTCAGCCTACAGTGACGCATCATTATTGGCACACAGCTTCATTATTGTCAACCGGCATTTATCAGGGTTGACTTACTTTTACACATTATATGGATCTGGGTAAATTTATAATGACTTAGGGGGTACTTTACTCTTCTTCAAATACTTGGGGTTTCATCCATTCATCTGTCATTCCTGAATCCTGGAAACCATTGACCATTTTGCTATCTCCTTGATTTGCTTTTTCCAGAATATCATGTCTAGAATCATCCTTAAGCCTAATGTTTGCTTGATAATATTGGAAACTGCAGGATTTAATATATATGCTTACCATCATTAGTTTATATTTTTGAATTGACTCCTTGATAAGTGCAAAATTTTAACTTTTTTCTCTATTTTTATAATTGAAGAGTATTTTGTTTGATATTAGCATAACTTCTGTGCTTCTGGTTTCTTTATGTATTGAATATGTGTTTTTGATCTTCAGGTCATTATTATTAAACTTTTCAGTTTTTTACCATAAAGTTTCCTCACAGTGTTCATTTCAACCTAGAGTTTAAAGCTGCATGGCTGGACAATAAAGGAAGCTGACTTTTGGTAATCATGAACCTGAATATGTTGGGTCATTTAGTAACCAAACTACTCTTATTTAGTCTTGTATTAAGAGGTATACAGTAACAATTTTATGAATTATTCCTTTATTAAGTATATGGTTTTTACAATGTGGAAATTTAGAGACCAGTTGGAAAATGGTATATGTAAGTTAGAGTTTGAGATGTATTTAAGTACCACCAATTTATGTTAGGTTCCATGTAAAGTAATAGAATTATCTTAACATTCCAATTGAATATTAAATGGAAAGCTTTTAGAACACCGCATCACGTATAACACAAGATATTTTCATAACTATTATCTTTCATAAGGTGTTCCTTTTTAAACATTACTAAATGAAACTATTGATCCATTTCAATACATCAAATTATATAAAGTTCCCTAAAGTTATATTATTGCCTTAATATATTTCATTGCTGTAATATAAAGGACTTTACAAGAAGTCTGTAATTGCAAATAAACATGATAGATAGCATAGGACAGTCGAATTAACACTGCATCCACTGATTGCATCAGTCATGCATTACTTTACCAAGAATGTTTTCAGAAGCATAAAAAGCTGATGCTACTGGGTGCTACACCCTACCTGCGGCCCAGCACATGTGGCAAGAAATCCAGAAATGGCTGCTGGTGTATGTACAGCAGATGGAGGGGCTTTGTGGTGTTTTGCTTTCGTTTTCTTAACACCATTGCCTTTCGCTGTATTTATTACCTCTTGACTGCTGCCCCTTTCATCATTACATTACCACTCCAGACATAATGAAGAGGCAAAGGGAAACATGAAATACAGTGAAGCAAAACATCATAGCAAACAAGCTTGAACCTTTTTACTGGAACTCTCGCATTTTCTCTGCAACTCAATCCAATAGTCATTTGCCATAACCGTATTTTATAGCCTCCTCTTAACTATTAACTTGGCCCTGGGGAAGTGTCATGGCTACTTTGGAATCCAGTTAAAATTCTCCATCTATGTTTATCATGTCAATAAAAATGAGGGAAGATTTAAATGGATACTAGGCACTGTCATAGTATGTAATTTGGTAATGTTTGTACATATTTCAGTTAGGAATTCCATCTGTGGTAGCAGTGAGTTGAAAATCTTTAACTACATATCTTTTTCCATATATTCAGGTGTGTGTGTGTGTGTGTGTGTGTGTGTGTGTGTGTGTGGTTTCTCCTGGGGTAGAGACCTGGTAGGAATGGGGCATTTTAATCTTATGTTCAAGGAAGGGCAAGGTGTTTGATGTGTGTTAAGACACAGTGATGTAGAGAAATACTGGATGAAACCAGAGAATGAATTAGGGATCAATTTTCAAGTCTTATGATCACATATAGAGCTTTGATTTACAGGGGAAGGAGCATTTATTTCCAGTTATTTTCCATCAAAATGCAAGAGCAAAACAAGAAACTTGATGTAGTTTTAGATGAAAACCAGATTAACCTGTCGTCCCAGCTCTGTGACAATGCCATGTCCCTTCCTTGGTGGCCTTTCTTTTCTACTCAGGTTTCCCCAGCTTGTCCATCCTTTCTCCCAACTCATTTGCTTTCAACTGTTTCACATCTAATGCTACTCTCCATTTACCTTCTTGTGTTCTGCCTATTTATCTTTAAATCAAAGCACTATAACCACTCTTCTAAATCAATGCATTCCGTGTTCTGTAAAGAAGGTCATAGACCGTAACGTGGTGACTTACTTTTCCAGAGTCTTTTTTTTTTTTAGACAAATAAACATTTATAATCTCTAGAATATAGTCTTACTTTCATAAATATTTTTTGGCCTCATGTTAACATATTTGTCAACAACATTTTTCCCCCCTGTTCTTTTCATTCCTATGAATCACTGCTGAATAAGGGCCAGTGACTGTTTCAGCTTCTGATTCTTGCAAAAGGACTCCCTAATTAAGCCACAGTAATGGAGGCTTGAATATGAGTTTTTAGTCTAACTCATTTACATTTTGCATTATCACCGGTTCAGAAAAAAAAATCCACATTTCAGGCTCTGCTTGCTCCACTTCTAATCCAGCTCCTTGTTCATGGTCTGGAAAAGCAGTGGGGGTGACCCACAGCCTTGAGACCCTGAACCGTCATGGAAGACCTGAAAGAAGCTCCTGGCTCCAGACTTCAAAATGGCTCAGCTCCAGCCTTTGCAGCCACTTGGTGAGTGAACAAGCAGATGGTAGAACTTTCTGTATCTCCCTGTCTCTGTAAATCTGACTTTCCAGTAAAAAACAAATAAATCTTGTTTAAAAATCTGTATTTGCATTTGAACTCAGGAGAGATTACGTAAACACGGCCAATACTAAAATTTCTCCTAATTCAAACACAAACCATTTGTGGGCATGGTGCTTTGGAAAGATGTTGATATTTGCTCTCCACCAAATATCCCACAAATTTCTGCCTTATGCATCTGTTAACATAAACATCAAGCTCAATCATTTCCAACATCTCCAACCAAATAATATGTCTTTCATATCCAATTATCTGAATTTGTAATGTTACTCTCCAAGCAACCACTACTCAAAGCCCTCTAGTGGATAAAAAATATAATTTTTGGATGGTGATGGAGCACAGAAGCAGACTTAAGAAGCATTTTACTTGTTCTTGTGTAATGTTTATTTACTTTCCTCCAAAAATGTGCTATAAATTTTCTTAATGGCAAACATTGTGCTTTTATTTGTTTACATTTCTCAGCGAAGCATGAAAGAGACATTAACTGTGTCATTAACTGATGATTTTTAGATGATTTTAAGAGTGTATCAGTTCTCTCGATTGCATTTTCTTATTTGGATATTTCCAGCAAAATTATATATGACTATAGTTCCATTTAGCTAGCGAGAGGAATTAGATAAATGTTTATTAAATCTAAGAACTTGATTTCAGTCACAGTTTAAAATTAGAGGCTTTCATTATTATCTGATAGCAAACACAGCCAATTTGAATAAGTGAAAGGAAATTATTCCCCAGAAATGACATGAAATGCCACCTTGACCCAAGGGTGCAAATTAATTCACCGAGACTCAGTCTTTCCTCCATTTGTGCTGTAGCAATTTCTTCTGCACTGTTTACACACGGAGGTTCTGGCAACTGCATGGTGTTTACAGCCGTGGGTATTCACAGGTTCAAGTCCAGGATAACAGACCATCTGCTCCTAAGGGGTTTTCACAAGTCCTGGGATACTCTTAGGTTGGATAAATTTGAGCCAAATGCTCACAATTAATTTCTGTGTAAGATTCAAGTTTTTGCTTTGCCTGGCTGAGTTTTAAACATGAGCTAACATCCTTCCTGAGACCTTGTAAAAAGATGAGAAGACGCTGGGTCCAAATTTCACTGAAAACAATCAAATTGTGTTATTATGTCTCCATGCATGATATTTCTACCCTTATGATTTACCTCAATTGAGATGACTGATCTTACAGTTTAATTTCAAGAAAGTAGTTTTCGGGCCCAGCGCGGTGGCGCAAGTGGTTAAGGTCCTTGCCTTGCACGCCCGGGATCCCATATGGGTACCGGTTCTATCCCGGCAGCCCCGCTTCCCATCCAGCTCCCTGCCTGTGGCCTGGGAAAGCAGCAGTGGACGGCCCAAAGCTTTGGGACCCTGCACCGGCTTGGGAGACCCGGAAGAGGCTCCTGGCTTCGGATCGGCATAGCATCGGCCATTGTGCTCACTTGGGGCGTGAATCATCGGACGAAAGATCTTCCTCTCTGTCTCTCCTCTCTGTATATCTGCCTTTCCAATAAAAATAAAATAAATCTTAAAAAAAAATAGTTTTCTATATTTTATGTATTTTTCTTTATAAATATTATTTATACCCATTTTATTTTAAAATTAACAAATCAATCTAATCTTTGAGTTGTTGATCTCCAATATTGAAGCTCAAGTTTCTAGCAAGTATTTACTTGAAAACATTATTTGCTTTGGCAAGAGATTAATAAAAATATGTAAGTAATTCAACTAAATACAATAGGAATAACCTAGACATTTTTTTAAATTGGGATATGTATCTGACAGAGATTTTACAAAAGAAGACATACAGTTTGTCCATGGGTGAGTAAAAAAAAAAAATGTTTGGCATCATTAACCATGAGCGCTGTGTAAGTCGAACTAAGAGATGTCATCACACAGCAGTTGGGCTAGATATCAAAGAGGCAGAGGATAATGAGCTGATGAAGAGCTGGAAGAAAGGGAATCTGCATACAGCGGTACTCGTGATGCAAGTTACTGCAATCACTGTGGAAAACCTTACATAGCATCCCCCAAAGCAAAGAATTGGTGTAGGGT